CGCAGTTTTCAATACACTGCATATTTTATGTATTTATAGAAAAATTCTACCTATCGAAAATTCATTTAATATGCAAGAACAAATAGAACATCAGAAATAAAGTGTTTTATTATCTTTAAAGTATAAAAGAAGTTGGATTGCTTTTCTAAATTGACGTTACAAAGGTTTTGTATAAAAGACGGTAGTCTGGTTATGAGAAAGTTTCAGCCGGAAGGACAAGGAGAATAATCGAGCTGTAGGAATCGTAGATTTGAACTAACTTTTAGCACCGATGGACCAATTGATTCGATCCGAGCCAATCGTCGCAATCGGTTTACCTGAAAGAAATCCTATTAAGGATTTGTTAAACGAAATACAATATCGCGTCTTGTTTACGTGATGATCGTGGAAGGTTGCCAAAAGCGCGGGTTGAAGACGTTGCCAAATCGGTTTTCCCGATATTACGACGACGGAAATAAAAGCGCACCTTTGTAACTCTCATTTGTTCGCAATACGATGAACCACGATCTTATAGATAAATAACTTTAATATGTTTAATACCTTTTTGGACAGAATATAAAGCTTAATCGATCGATGCAGGAAGAATTATACAATCTCATTTAAATACATGTTGATCTTCATATCTCTACTACGTATCCACCTACAAAATAGCTCACAACACTCGAATGTGTTTCTCGAAATCATCCAACATTATATGTAATACGTATAAAGATTCTTTACTATATATAATAATAACGACAAAAAGGTGGTAATATCTGGTATAATGTATATAATAATAAATGATTACAACCAATACTTTCAATTTGATGTAAAATGAAATTAAATATAAAAATTCGTGAAGATACAGTTGCATCTAAATATTAAGATTTACTTAAGAGTCCATGGAAGGAATAAATTTCAGACAAAAGAAACAGGACGTGTTTGGTGAACGGAATTACAGGTGGAAGTCTTCTAACTGGCGTTAAACGGTTACGTCGATCGCACGTACCGTACAAACGGGTAACAAAACTTTCCCTCTTGGCGTAATCGATTCTTGTTAATCGTTTAAGTTTCATTACTCCGTTGCGACGAAAAGTTAGCAACAATATAACTTGGTCCAATACAATGAAAACTTTCATCTACCGATTTCGACTTGTTACTTTTATCAACTTTTACTAGCATGTAAATGAAGTTTTCCGGATCCTATTAACGAAAGCCCTGATTTCCACTCGATAACATAAGTTTTCGTTTTAAGGTCATGCAATTTTAATAATTACAAAATAGGAAGTGTTTCCTAAATGCATAATTAAGAAAGATACTGTAAATTCGCATTTTATTAGTATTAACCAAAAATAGAACATACACTAGAAATTGTTTTGTCTTTTAAATATTTTACTAAGACGTTGAAAAGACTAACTGATGTGATTAGACTACTACACCTCCGTCCAACTTGAAGAGTCAGCAGGAGATGAAAAAGTCTTTATGAATTATTATTAAGTTTGTTATTTTGAAATATAAGACATTAATATATTCTATGTTCTAATAATAACTCTCATTAATTACGTATAATAAACAGACCTCCACGTCACAATTGCAAACGTTATATTATTTAAAAAATGTAACAAATAAGCCTAAGATAAATAAAGACCATATTTAGCTAAGGAATTACATCAAAATGAAAAACACTGCGTCAAGTGAATGTGGAGTACAGTTGTAATATATAAAATACGATAAATGGGTAAACTAATTACATGAAAAGCAACTACACATGCCTCAAAATAAAATTCTATTAAAACAATGTCGTATGACTAGTAAAAGTTATTTAATTTGAGTCAAAATTTTGTATGACACGAGATTATGTGTCTCAATTTTAATACTTTTGGTCGGGCGTGTACATACATGAAACTGCATAAGATGATGATTCATGTTTGCGAAGTCACTTATCTAACTTATACATAATTATTGCGAACCAAATACACATCCTGTAATTTCTTGAACATGAAATCAAAGCGATATACATACACAAGTTTATGAATGTATTACAAGAAAATGAAATTTTGAACGAAGATGCAAATATTCATGGTCGCAGACATTCGATTGTGGTGAATACGTATTGATAGCCTATCCAATGAGAATCGAACATATTCCTCTTTATATTCGTTATCGAATAGCGAAGCATGTTATAGCTAGCATCATACAAAGAACAATTTCGCTTCCTCAATTTTTCCCTTTTGTCTATCGTCGACACATATTTACGAAGCACAAAACAGGCGAGGAAAAAGGGTGGAGAAGGGCGTGATTGTCTCGCGACGCAGCGCTTTGAAAGCAACGTTATTTGCGCCTCGCACGCACAAACACAGACGGGAACGGTAGTCGACGGCGACGGGCCCGCCGCTATATTTACAACTGTTTACCTGTCGGATACAATTTCAGGCTTGGGTGTCTACGAAAAGCACCGATGTGCTCCTGACAATGGTACAGTAGCAGTTCACGAATCGCGACTCGTGTTCCACGTTCACGCGTGACTAGTCGTGAAAAGCGCGTTATTTTCCTTGTCGACTGCAAATAGACACGTTTCATCGGACTTTTTTTTCGGTAACGATAACGATGTAACGCCAATTCCGAGTCCTCCACCGGAAATGTGCCGCGAACTGATAGTTCCGCTTTCCTGTGAAAACGATTGTCCTTGCCATGTGATCTGATCAACACTTTTTACAATATCAATACTGCAATGAATTATTTCACAGAAATTGATTACCATTCTTGAACTACAGTTTTACTGAAGCCGTTCATGATTTATTATGCGACTAATGCTACGATTTCTCACATGATTTCCCGATTATGATCATATGATTCAATATAATCTTAAAAAGTTGAAGAAGTCAGTGTCGATTACTAAGCTAACGAGAAAATTACTTAGAACTGTCTTAAAACTTACGAACAGAACTGTACCTAACACATGGTCAGTTTCCCTCGAAATTGAATCGAAATCAAAGAGACTAGTAGATTTATCAGAGCGTAAGGGGAAACTCGGACGAATTTGGCGAATTCCTTGCGGTCGGAAGATGCTTCGATCGATTCCTATCTGTATGGGCTGTATCGTCGTGTGGGATTGCAATTCCGCTTAGCTTACCCCCTGGGACGAGACCTGCTTCCTTCCTTATCGGTTTGCACCCCTGCGCGACGAGCTAGCGAAGTTCCCTGGGCGCGTTTTTCCGCGAAACCTCATCCCATTCCTTCCTTATGTAGCGAAGTATCGCATTTCAGATCGTATCTCACTCAGACAGGACTGTTAAATCTTCTTACCATTCTCCTTCAGCCTAGTTAAGGCCGATGAACTCTTTTTTTTAAATTGTAGAATAGAACATATATTTAATGTCGAATTTTAATTTTGAGTTATGAAACACTATGAGATAATATTGTTAAAAAAAAATGAATACACGAGTTTCGTAAAGAAAACAGCAATAAAACTTGAAGAAAGTCAGGGAATTATGAAGTGAAATTAATATTAAATTTTCATAACACGAGGCCGAAAAAGACCATTTTCGGCGCCTATAAAGTGGACCGAAAATAGAGTTTTTCCGCCCTAGGGCTATCGTCGTCCGAGGATGACGTATAGAGGATGTTGCGAGTTGCGAGAGTAGACTCCCGTTGCCTCGGTGCCACGCGCCAATTTAATATTGCGTAGCTGATGAAGTGTTTAGGATTTGATTCCCAGTAAAATAATGGACACAGCTGATGGTTTTTAAAATGGTTGTATTAAAAACTCTACTACAACGTCGTACTGTGGCTTTACAAAATTGTCTTGTGTTGTACGGTCGGCGGTCAAGCTCGAACTCTCCTTCGTATCGTCTCTCGTCTCGCAGAGACGTCTTAAGGGATGGGGGTGGTGATTTTCTTTGTTTGTAAAAAATTTCCTATTGGTTGGAATGTTCCTGTCACGGTGGTGTGGGGGAAAAGAGGATGACGCCCTTTGGACGGTTAAAAAAAGGAAACGGAAAAAACCTAAGGTGGTGGTAGGAAACGGTTGAAGGGAAAGTGTCCAGAAATAGCGGATACCTGCGTAATGCCTTTTTGGCCAGGTTATGGTATTTGCTTGTAGCAGAAGGACGTCTTATCCTTCTGGAAGGCATTTTTGGTTATTACGGTGCGTGGGTCATAAAAAATATATTTTGCTAGGCGTACAAAGAAATGGTTGCGCGGCAGATGGGTGATTCTGGACATACTATTGTTTCTCGGCTGTACTAAAGTGCTTAAAAACTAAGGATTCGGTATTAGCGACGGAACAGAGGATGTGGTTGAGATAAGAGGAAACGGGAACGGTGACACTGAGCGGAATTTTGTAATTAAATGAAGATAAGCCAGGTAATTAAGGAATAGTGCTAAGATTGTGGAGCATTTCCGCGGTACCAGCATGAACTGGTCGCATTGTGAAGGATAGCTGTGGCTAATCTCCTTTGAATCTCTACCTCAGACTCTGTATATTACGGTTACACTCGCGTTGGGTATTAGTAATTCCGATGATCCTCAACGCAATTTCCACGTATAGACCTACTTATTTAACAAACGCGATACTGTTCTTCGAGGTAGATTGCAGCTTCTTTCTTATAAAACTAGTGTAGAAATTAGTAGTAAGTAGTTGTTTTCGCTACAAATCTTATTATAAGTATGAAACAAATTAGGATCGGTGATTTTATAAATCATACAAAAAGTTATTGGTTTTTGAAGTATAAACGTATCAATAAAAAAACAATTTTACAGTTTAGTTGCGGAGGTTCATCGTGTTGAGCTAAAATGCAAAGTAGATGGGTTATAAATATGGAGCAGTTTGTACTTTTATATATGCAGAGTGAAAAATAATGATAAATAATGAAAAATTAATCGATTGAATATATCAGCGAAAAATTCTTTGTTCATTGCATACAGGTGTTGAACAAATTGATTATTACATATATTTCAACGAACCATGATTCATTTTTTGATACTTAATAATAAATTGTTATTTTTAATAATACTTAATATCATAAATGAAACTGGACATTTTTATTCACTAATACAGATACATTAACATTCGTTCATGGACTAATTTCTGGGTATAGTCGTTAAAGTTTAGTTTGGATCTACCGTTTCGCAAATTACTCGGGTCCCCGTTGTCTCGTGAACAACATCCACATGCGTTAGTCACACGCGGCGTGAAATTCATCTTGAAGCTCGTCGGATCTGTGCGAACCTACTCCCAAGGCTGTTGGTCAGACTTAATGTGCTTAATGGTGTCTTCTATGCAGCCATTATCAGTCAAGACAGTTTAGCGGTTAACTATGTCACGGTTATTAAAAATCGGTGTTTCACTCTATCGCTGCTTTATGGCCTGTTCTTTTGCGCGGAACTACTTGCTTCGCGGAAGTGTAGTTCCACGAAGGAACAACGTACGTCTCGGGATAAAAGCTAAGTGAAACATTAATTATGATAAATGTTCGTGGAGTATGGTAAGTGATGCATGGTTATTTTTTGTCAAGAGGGATAATATACTTTCTTTTTCTTTGTGCCAGAGGTTAGTCGCGAGATGTAAAAAATAGTTTGCTGGAATTCTTAAAAGAGTTCTAGATACATGTAGCGACAATCTTTTGTAGTTTGAGAAGTTCGTAGTGAAATAAACTTTAAAACTAACATATATATAAAAAGAATGAACATAAAATTTTAATAAATATTTAAGTGAACAATTATTATATAAAAACAAGTTGAAAAATGTACTTAAGTTGATTTACGAGGTATGAAGAATTGTTCAAAGAATTCTGCACGTATAATGGCAGTAGTTGGCAGTTTGAAAATGGAGATTAAAACGGATACTACCAGATGTTAGAAAAAAAGAACAGGCAATTTTGATCAATATTTAAATCAACAATTACTATACCGGGTGTCTCAGTCGATTTTGACATCTCGATCTTCTCACTATTGTTGCTCAAACGCGTCCACTTACGAAAAAGCTAATAATACCAGAATATACTCCACTCAATATTACTCAAGTTCCCTATGAGACATTTTTCGCTACGAGCAACAATAGCGAGAAAATCAAGATGTAAAAATCTGCTGAGACACCCTGAATAAAGAATTATAAGATATTCAAGTTGATTTAAAAACGAGTGAAACAGAGAGATCAAGGATGCGAAATAATCGGTATCGAATCTGAAAGGACGTCGAAAATTACCAAGTGACTTCACTAATACTCGAGGATTCGCAGGATACACGTAAGTTTTAAGATATGATAGAGGCGGAGAGGCTCTCAAGAATTCTCCGCCGCCATCATCAGTTATCCTCATACGAAATTGACACTGGTGCAAGCTGTCTGTGCGTTATAAATTGCAGTCTCGTTTACTATTTGCACTCGTTTTCGCGTTATCAACGTTCCATCATCAAATATTCTCCCGCATTTGACAAATTTCTCGTTACATTCTACGGTGACGAGCATGCAATAACTGAATACAAAATTATTTGTTTCCATCAAAAATGTATGTATGCATTATATTATTCTTCACTTTGTCACGTTACTTACATGAAACAAAAATAATTAATAAAAGAAAACTTTGACTGAGTTTGATTCATTTCTGCAATTCGATTCACACACAGATACATAGTGAGCATAATAAAATACATCCTTATAAGACAGTGCAAGGAAAATACAAATGCTAGGAAGTCTGTAATATTTATTTTATGAAATTTTTATAAAAGGAAAGGAAACACTTACGGCGTCGTTATGATTCCAAAATATGTAAGCTGGTGGCTCCGGACTTAGGAGGACAACGCACGTCAGATTGATCGTACTACCCCGATTGATGTACAAATCTGGTGCACCAAGAATTTCGGTTTTCGGTTCTGGAACACAAAATAACAAAACCCCACTTTAAATATTGATTTAAAAAGGCTATTAATTTCGAACTAATAATTAAATAAGATGTCACTTTCTTTTATACTTCATTACGCAACTTTTTAATTATATTTATTAAACTAGGAACATTTTCTAAAGCTTGAAACAAAACATGATGTATAAAAAGGTAGAAAAGATGATACTTTGCCACGAAGCATAGTGTTTCAAGTAATTATGAAACAGTATTTTTAAATTTCTTTAAAATTCAAACATTTTTATTTATTTGTAACGAAATCTGGTTCTGAAAGGTGATCTAATTATTAAATTGACGTACGCAAAAATCCACAGTCTAATTATCGAAAAAGTACTTCTCTTCCTTCATACATCATTAGGCAATTTTTTAATAACGTGTACTAAAGTGTAAGAATTGCTCAAAGGTTAAAATATAAAACGCGAGAGATAAAAGGTACCTAATCTTGAATTTTTTGCCATGAAGCGTATATGAAAGGCTTCCTTCAACAAAAGTGCGGAACAAAAAGTGAATAACAAAAAAGATGAACTCCGAAGGAAGAACAATTTCCGAACGATGTAGTTAAAGAAAGTGCAAACTCGGCATCGTTACACGCACGAATTATTTTCAAGTTTCGAACCTTCCCCTTCACGATAATACCGGTCCCAAAACAAAACCACTGCATTTATCATCATGTCACATTCTCATTGCAGAAGAGATACAATAAGAAAAAATAGAAAATATTACTATCATATAAATTTATTACAGAGACATCTCTTGATTAATTACAAAAATGTCATTCATTTATCTTTATAATTTGACCGTCAGAGGAGGGTTATTCCTTCTTCCTGAACTTTATAATAGCACTATGTATTATATTCTACGACAGTGTCTGGTGCGTCGCGTGTGCACCTGATACACGCCAAATTAATATTGTGTACCTGGTTCAAAGAAAAAATAGACTGTATTCGTTTTTGTAGATCCGCCGCTATTCTAGACACGAATAATTTCCCGTAGGCTCGATCTATGCACTGCGTACACTTGACGCAAAAGTTCGTTATTGAAAAGTTCGTAGTCGGAAACCGATGTCGAAAGCCGAAGTCGAAAGCCACTGTCGAAAACTTGATGTCGAATGGTTGTTGTTGACCGAACGTTTTCAACTTGCCTGGTTCTGAACGACTGATCGACTGATGTCGAAAGACTCGGACCCCGACGCTCGTCCTGTCTTCGGGTCTTTTTCCCCCTTTTCCTCCTCTTTTCTTAAAAATATGTTCCCACTACCTAGCGAGGTGGAATTTAGATTTTCGCGATACTTGTGGAGCCTTCGAAGGAACCGGTCGAACCCGGAAAGTTCCTCCAAGTGGTCACCGCATGACGGACCATTAAGCCGGACGTTTGCTTAATACCCTTCGGAACCCCAGTTTATGGGAAGGTTGGTTATCGAGGTACGAGGGAAAAAAGATAAAATAGGCAAAAGTGACATAGCCTGCCGTTAGCCAGTCGTAATAAAAAATAGGAAAGAACTTAAATCCTCAAAAATAACCTTTCCCGCACGTTCTTGCCATTAACTGCCCCGACGAAGTCTCCACTTTTTACATTATTGTTCCTTCGAACGGAACAATGTCCTAATTCTCATTCTCAAGGTGCACAAATGCGCCTTGATTAAACGAAAAATCGTCAATCTCGTTACTTCATTTATATTTAATATGCAGACTGTAATTGTATTTCAACTTGTATCATCATCATCAGTCAGTAGAAAAATTAGTTGTTAATATTTTTTAAATTATATCACTTCCAACTCAAAATAAATGAACGAATCAAAGATCAAACTTTAGACGATCAATTCTTCACCTTCTCTAATTCACAAATGAACCAATATATTGAACAAGATTCATTAAAAGTGTAATGAAGCGGGTGGTACCCTAGTGTTAAAAAATCCACTTGAACTTGTTTCATGAGCAGTAGCCTCCTTGTACTACACAAGTGTGATTAATTAATTATATGAATAAACAGTTTCTTTTTTCTCCTGAAAAGTATACACTTTTTCGAATAGTGTCACCTTTGCAGCGTGTGGCGAAAAATGCCAGTCTCGGGAACGCGCGGGTATTTATAGTCGATTCGCTTCACCCATCTGTTTTGTGTGTCCTTTTCACGTAACCGAAAAACGACGCGGTTGACCTGGCCCTTGTGCCGGGCTCGAAAGAGCACTTTGAGGCAGTTCGTGTAAAATAGAGTATCCGCTGTCGCTGTACCGTCAAAGAGAAAAAAAGACGCGGAAGGCGAGTGGACTCTATGAGGAAACATGACGGATAGGTATGGAAAGGAAGAAAGAGGGCGGGTTGGAAGGGAAAAGAGTTTTATAGTTATTGTACTGAATTTTTTAAGCTTATTTCTATGGTATCGGGATGAATTGATATTGCTAAAATAAAAGGCAAGAATGAAACAAGAACTAAACATATATAGGATGAGCCAGTAAAAAGTATTACATTAACTTGTTAATGTGTTTATCAAACTACGTTGTGTATGGTATATTCTGTGTCATGTTATATACTTACTTTATCTTTTCGCATTTTTTTCAAAACGTAGTGAATTATGTAGCATATTCATATTGGTACGGATTCTCTGAAATAATATTTTTATACAATTTATAAACAGAATTATTACATAGGGTGAGTTAATAAAAAGCATGCAAGTAATTTTCTTTATAAATACTTTTATCTAACGATTGATACAAGGTTAATACAATAAATGGTATGTAGAGTGCAAATGTCTTTAAATAATCGTTGGTCGGATGGTACAAGGTATTTCACGAATTAATCACTCGTCTTAATCGATCCTTTTATCGTATTTATTCGTAAGGATCTCGCCTGAACAGTATAAGTAACCTCGCCGATATATGCCTAATGCGTACTCATTACTGACTCTGTGTCGTCGCGCGACGGTTTTTCACGACCGAAAATCTACAGCCCTCCAATGCAGGGCAAAGGTACGACGCGGGCAGGGATGCCAGAATGTAGGATTTCTCCTCTTCCCGAGTTCTCCCCACTATTGTATGCTGCTATATGCTCAATGTGCTCTCCCCACTTACATATGGCATTATTAGACATGATCCCAATGATCCCGATGACCCCAATGATCATGGGTAACGTAACTGGGGGCAAAAAAAAGTAGTGGGGGACAGTTCGGGAAGAGGAGAAATCCCACATTCTGGCATCCCTGGACGCGGGTAGCAATGTTCCCTAGCCCCTAACTGGCAAAGCCTACTATACTTATTGATACAATGTTTGATTCGTTGGACATTCTAAATTGAGCCCAAAAAAATATTTAACCTTTAATACACACCACACATCGTAATCTTAAAACTTATAAACAGATGTATATGTCAGAAATGTAGAGGAAAGATAGAAGAAAGTGAAAGAGAGAGAGGTCACTCTGTTGGTGTGTACAGATCGATGTGAATATTTTCCAAACGGTCTCCTCTTGGAGGATTGACCGAAATAACCAGGCACCGTACTTTACGGCTTTGTGCAGCAGATGATACCAGAGAGGGACGACAGTTATGTCTTTTAGCCATCCGTAACCTTTCGCCCTGCTTTTCTGCTCGGAAACCAGACGATTCTCTTTTGAATATTTTCCGCCCCGTTCCATTCCTTTACCTTTGTTTCGTTCGCGATCACAGATAAGTAGGTCCACGGAGCTGGATGGCAACAGTAACGACGTTCGGATTCCCTCGAAATTGTTTTTACTTCTTTATGCGCGTCCTTTTCCGTCCACTCGTTGCTAGCTAGCGTTTCAAACGTATATAGTCTTCTTATTTAGGAAACACTATGACATCTTATTTTTCCTTTGTAGTTAATATTTTTGAACATGTGTTTTCCTCTCTCTTGCTTAAGTGGATGTATTATAAGATATGTTCGCAATCGCATTGTTTTAAAGAATATTTTAACATTAGATAGTTTTCCAAATGAACTTATTAAATCTTAAATCCTCAATTATTTTATAATGTAGATAAATAATTTTCTAACGTTGACATATGTTTGCGTTACACTTGATACGTTTAAATTAGGCTCAACATATTTAACGAATTCTTTTAAATCACAACTGTTTTTATAATTCTGATTTATACTTTTGTATTTTATATTCTAACTCTGGTTCTCTTCTCCTGGTTTCGCTTTTATTTTTCTTAGAAATTTTCGCTATGATCAATTTTTATACGAAATTCGTGCGAGCAGATCATATCTACCAGAGGTTAGAACGAAACACTTTTGAATCGGACGAATTGTTCGATACTGCTCTCATTTTTGTATTATCAAGAGTCTCCTTCTTTTATCTAGCGTTTAAACTTTCGCGTGCAAAATTGCAAAAGGAAACTGAATCGCCGGGTACTTCCGTATCAAAGCGATCAGCAGTACGCATATTCGCATTTCGAAACCAGAAACGATGTACTATTCGAAATACGTGATCTAAAGCATTTATGATAGCTACGTACCACTGTGTAATGGCAAAGTCGTATCAAAAAATCTTTGATCAATTTTGTAATATTTGATAAGAACGTTTACAATTAAAAGCAAGAGAACAATTGGTTAATAAATCCTGTTGCATGTGCAGTTTTGATATTTAATATTGAGATTATGTACTAGGTTGTGCATTACGTACATTAGACTAAAGAATTTTTGGCACAGGTAATAATTGTTTTAAGGTAGATGTATCTGAAACTCAAACATTGAATTGATATTCGATTCATTATTTGGGTAGCCAGTTTCCAAGCGTTCTCGAGCGTGTAAAATTATTCCAACCAGCCTAGTATTCTCTTCATTATGGAGGATACGCTCAGATTCCTCGAGAACGACCGAGAAAAGAAATCGCGTGCTCAAAAAAACTGCAGATAAAGGTTTCTTCTACTACCACTTTCGTACTTCTCTTCAACTATTTCTCACTGACTGATTCATACGCGGTTCGGTTGATTCCGGTCCCTCTGGACTATAGATTTTCT